GTTAAGGCTCATTTGCCTATCAGTAACGTGTCGATTTTATGAGACAAATATAAATTCATTATAAATGTTGATATTTGTTATTAATTTATGAAATATGATGAACTTTTGCTCTTGCAGGCTTGCGAAGTACCAGCATCTCAGAATGCTCACAGTCACTATGTATGTGATGATGATGGAGAATTGAGATGCTTACCAGGATGGACCGGTGATTTATGTGATGTTCCTAAATGTAGACCAGGTTGCGATCCACTCCAAGGTACATAGAAATTAATAAATTATTATCTTGCCATTATATTATATACTTTTTTATCTTATTTAAATTGATTAATCGAATACTGATAATCTTCTAACTAAACTGAATTATTGCAGGTTATTGTAAAAGACCCGGCGAATGCCGATGTAAGTTGGGATTTTATGGAGAACATTGTAATAAGTGTATCCCATTACCAGGATGCCAACATGGGATATGCAATGTAAGTTTTGAATGCCAATGTCTTCCTGGATGGGATGGTATTTTCTGCAGTGAACGTAAGTACAATCAATATATCTACCCTATTCTAATTAAATTTGACTTCAGTCATTATCAGATATTTTTATGTGATATTCATATATTTTCAGCCTTATGCAGATCAGATTGTCATCCTGCCCGAGGCTATTGCGAGGCTCCGAATGAGTGTAGATGCAGACTAGGCTGGCAGGGCAGAAACTGCACAGAATGCCAAACTTTACCAGGATGCAGGCACGGTACATGTAGAAAACCATTAGAATGCAGGTGCAAACCAGGATATACAGGCATATTATGTCAGACACGTGAGTAATATAAAAAATTCATAAATTGAAAGTCAAATAGTTGATACTCATTCAACTTTTATGTTATTTATTGTGATTATTAAAGTTATTTAATTATTTTTTTAGCAATATGCGCAGCTAATTGTGATCGCGAACGAGGTACATGCAGACGTCCAGGCGAGTGCAGATGCAGATTGGGTTGGACTGGTCCAAATTGCACACAATGCCATCCTTATCCTGGCTGTAGTAAAGAGCATGGATCTTGCATCAGACCTTGGGAATGCCGATGTGAACAAGGCTGGGGTGGAATGCTTTGTGATGAAGGTAATATTTAATCAGTGTTTTTTATGCCTAAAATAAAAGATATATTGTTGGATTTTATAAAAGGTTTTATCATATTGTTATTAAATATGAAAAAATATATCCTTCTGAAGTTTACCGTACAAAACGAAATTAGTTTCAAAATAATTACAGTAACCTATTTAGTGTTATACAAAACTGCAAAAAAATAAATTGCTCATAATTGAAGTAAACTGTTAGTCATATACCTTCACACATTAATGCCATAAGCTATCTTATTTATTACATATTAAATTATCTTTCCTAAAAAAGTTATACGTTTATATTACATGAGTACTAAGTGGTAAGTGCTTATCTAGTGAACCACTTTTTAACTTTAGTTTGCATCCAAATGGAGAAAAATAAACTTATATGTTACCGTTTATACCATGCTTTAAATATAGAACAAGATAATATAAATGCTAATTAAATACTAAAATCATTGGGCGTGGCTCGTACAGTTTGCAAATGTAATATATAATAATGTCAAAAGTGAACGTATATTATAAGTACAAAATTATTTCAAGATTATCAGAAATAGTATTGTTTATAGAATAAAGCAAATCGACTTAGAATACATTCAATTTCATACTCATAATCTATATTATAGCGGTTATAAATGGCATATGCAATTAAATACATATTCTTTTTTAATATTGAAATCATATTTTATTAATCGAATATTTATATAAAATATAAAACAAGATTATACAAAAACTAAACTGCACTAAAATTTATAGCCACATAAAATAAAGAATAAATTGTTCAATAAGATCTAATTAAACTTATCTAATCCAGTCGAATCTAAGCCATTTTTTTTAAAAGAATTCGAATAAAATGCATGTAGTTTTTTATTATGTTGAGTTATTATTATTTTATGATAATATCCATTTTTATTTAATATCCTGAAAAATGTCTTTGATATGTTTTAAAGACCCATTTAATGATTTTTCGTATGTAACAGACAATGTAAGTGAATTAAATTTATAAATAATTGATGAAAAAGTATGTAAATAATTTTAACTATTATGCGTTTTTTTTCTTTAAAGAACTGAACTACTGTGAAAAGAATCCAGACACTTGCGGTCCAGGCAGATGTGTTTCACGTGCGGCAAGTGAAGGTTCCTACGAATGTTTCTGCCCACCAGGAACATATCCTCCGAACTGCTTAACCATTGACAATTCAACTATTACTGAAGGTCCTAGCGATGTAGGAGATTTTCCTATGGGTGAGTTTTAATGGACACACTTGCTTGTTATTTCTATTCTATTTTAATCAAAATTATCCAATGTCAATAGTTTGTTTTAATAGCATTTGTGACAAAAATTGAAATTAAAATAAATGATAAGATTAATTATTGTCAGAGCTAAGAATTGCTTCCACCTATTAGGAGGAATATTTTGTTTAAACTTTGCCAAAAATTAATAAAAATGTTTTTCAATTAAACGTTATTAACTTTTTACGATCAATTCAATATCTATATGAGTGGATAAAAATTTATTAATTATTTGTTATTATAACTCGACAAAATCTATTAACATTTTTAAATTTTCAAATTTGACGCGGCCATTTTTGAGACCGCGGCCATTTTTGAAACCGCGGCCATTTTGCATAACAAAAACGGATTTCTATATTAACGGATTTAATTAATTTTAACGAGATTTAAAAATATTTGCTAAAAATGGATTTTTATATATTCAATTATAATGATTACTAAAAATATTATTTCACATTATAATTCTTTCAGCTGCACCAGAGCATGTTGCTATTTCTTCTCCGAATTACATACCTTTCTTGGAGCGTCCAGTCCCCACGGATCAACCTGTACAAATCCAGCTTCCGGCGGGTCTAATGTCATCTGTTGCAGGCATCAACAAAAAGAAACCACAAACAATGGCCCAGCAACATCAAGTCTTTATCGTCATGGCAAATCAAGGTATGAAATTGAAACAAAAATTAGATTTGAATATTCATGAAGATAGTTAAAATATTTGTATCAAATTCCGCATTTTTTTTTTTCAAATCTAAAGTTGATTTAGATGTAAGTTTATCTTACTATTTAGTTTTAAAGTATTATTTCAAATTTAGGATCTAATGTTGACCATGGAAGCAAACGACCCATACCACTGACAAATGAAACGGCGAAACAAAACGTTACGACCACTCCAGCTGATAACAATAACAAAACAATGACAGATGATAAAACGAATGATGAATCTTCAGAAATACCTAATTTATCGCAGGAAATTCCTTCATTAGATAAAGAAAAAGAAAATTTTGTTAAATTACAAAATGTCGATGACGTCTCTCAAAATGAGGCATAGATATTATTAGTTTAATTTATTTATTAACTATTTATTTCATTAATTTTTAGTATAAATATTTAAAGTAATAGTCACAATAATAGATTTAATTTGTGAATGACAAATCATATTATCGATAAATTTCATTTAATTCGATCAAATATTGTTGTACCAACATAAAAATATTTTTGCTGTTAGCGACATTGGAAAACTTCATGTTATATTTTGACAGCAAAATTGGCGGTGACTACTGATTGGCAGTATGTGCTCACTTTTCTAGTTCTAGTTTTAGATTTATTTATTTATTTTTAATTTAATTATTTATTTATAATTATTTGAGCTACAAAATACAAGTGAAATATATTATTGGTGTTAATTTATTTACGTTCCTTTCATTACTATCTTGCGGAAGAAGTTTATGTTTTCGTCAGCTGTCGGTGATGGATATCAAAACTGGAAACTTGTAAGTCCTGTCATTAAAACTAAAAGTATATTTATGATATATTTTATTTTACTGAACATTATGTAATACCTATTTGCAAATATCATTACATTTGGACTAGTAACAAATAATGATTATCAGCTTAGCCTAAGCATTTTTGTCTTAAATTAGTTGTAATTATTTGAAGTACAATAAACTAAATATAATAGTAAATTTATGAATAAATATCAGAAATAAAAAATCAATACAACCGATCGCAGACAAATATTGCATAGAATTATGCTTACTATTATTTTTATATATGTACTTGGATAGAAAAATGTAGAAGTATTTTGGTCATTATATGGTAAAACTTCACTTGCAAGCTATAAGAGAGAAGATGATTTATCGTTCTTAGATTTTATATGTAATAAGAATACTATGGCTTGGCTTATTGATATAAATTTAAATACTTTATTTATTTTTACAAATTACAAAAAGCACACAACAACAACAAATACTAAAATATTGACGTGGTTATGATTAAGGGTAATAAAATCCGTGAAAAATAAATCGATAACTATTAAGGTGACCATACGTCCCGATTTGGCCGAGACAGTGCCAGATTTCCACCTTGTGTCCCGTTTTTTTAAGCATCATTTGTACCGGATTTTGATCTTTTGTCCCAGATTTTCCGGTTTTTGAAAAATTAATAGATAAATTAACACAAATTATGGAAACAAACAAACAAGTAATATTTTTTTTAAATTATTTATGTATAAAATTGAATAAAATATTTATAAGGCTCAAAAGCGAGAAAAACATATGGATCGATATATGATATAATATCATAGATAAAAAGAGTACTGCATACAATTGAATAATAAAGTTCTCACTAAAAGTCTGCAAATCTTATGAAAAGCTTCTTATTTGACGGTTTTGACTTATAATTAGAAAAATGACACCTTATAACTATGAATTTCGAAAATGTTACAGCATGATTTTAAATCAATTACTTTAAGAGCGCATACATTTATCAGAATCAATTGAAGTATGTCCTATGTTTTTAATATTAACTTAACCTAAAATAAATAATTCAGCAGCTTTGAGCTATACAACATCGATATTAACTAAAATAGTGATTAAATCAATAATCTGTATATTCGTATCTGTGGTATTGCTGACTTTGTCGTTCACCATGTTGACTTCCGTAAGGCGGAAGTAAGCCAACAGAAGGAGCTGAAGCCATTTCGTGCGGCTGATGATAATGGTAACCGTCGCTTCCAGCACTTCTGGACGAGTCTTGCGAAGAATGGTGAGTCATCATTGGTTGCCAAGGTGACTGCTGGCTGGTGGATCCTTGGCCACCAACTGAAGGTGTCACGTACACGCCTTAAGAAATAGTTTGTTAGCGAACGGAGAGAAAAATTACAAAGAAATTTTTGTGAAATGACTTTTCAATTTTTGAAAATGGTGCAGTCCAAGAAAACATGGACGAAAGTTCAAATTTTGGCTAACATATAAACATACATACACAGCCATTTTTTTTTCAATTTTGGTCTCAAACTATTCAAAATGACTTGAAAAGTGAAATTGGTTCACTCTGGTTGTGTTAAATATTTACTTATCATATAAAGTAAAATATGATTTGGACAAATTTTATTTACCTGTATTTCCAGGCGTATAATAAATATTGTCTGGTTGCTGACTTTCATGATGCTGCGTTGGGTGTGATGAGGCACTGGCATCAGATGCGTCTAATTGGAGATTCATAAATAATCTTTTATACATATTTATAATAAGCAAGCATTTAGAATAAGGAATCAATGAAAAAATAAAAGTTAGAATATATTCAAATTTTAACTGATTAATATTTATTTAATACGTTATTTCAAAGTTCTGTTCTTTGGTAGTCTTTCAAAAAATAATAATACGCCAAACTGCATTAACGACAGAACTTAATGCATTATAATAAAGTAACATAAATAATTAATAAATTCACAATTATTTATAGTCACACGAAGGCATTTAAAATTGCCGTTGTAAGTTTGGCTTCTAATTGCATTACTTTATTATATGATCCAGGGTATTTGCCCCAAAACTTAGCATGCATCGACGTACCAAAGAATCGAACTGATAATTACCGTCAATGATAATATAATAGTGATAAGCACCATCTTGAGTAGTAGGCGGGCTAGCTGAATTATCTGGATAGTGGTTTCCTGGATAATTTGATGGGTAAGCAGGAACTACTGAAACCGCCGGGCCCGCTTCATCATTTCCTGGATATGCATGGCCAGTGGCCGGCATTTGTGCGATCGGACCAATTCCGAACCCGTTTGCTAAATAAACATACAATATAATAGAAAATCTTTTTTTTGTAGTTACATATATTAATCATTTCTTACCAGGATAATAATGGGCAGGAAGTAGTGCAGACGGCACATTCACTATCGGCCCTTGCACCGGCCTTACTGTATCTTCATGTTGTGAAGCAGGAAACAAATGGCCTGGAGTATACGAAGGTCTGTTTTCCACTACTACGCCAGGTGTTGGCGAATCATTTACAGGATATAAATGACCAGGGTTAATCTGAACAGGCCTAGTATCCTGCGCGACTGGATAGGAAGGTCGCAGTATAAAGCCTGATGTTGATGGTACGTTGATAGGATATAAATGCACAGGCTCATTTTCCACAACTGGTCTGGGTCCTAAATGGACAGGGTTTACAATGTGTTGATGCTGCCCATCAGCGATTACAGCTGGTGTTGAGGCAGGGACGTGGGTTCCTGTGAAGGTAATAATTAAAAAAATTGTTTTGAACTAGTGATCAGTTTTGTTGTGCAATTGGTATTATTTAACAACAGTTTTTATATACCAACTCATAGGAAATGGTTGATTCTATATTTTACATCAGAATAATTTATATTTTATAATCAAATTCTATATCTTTTTGTTATTTCAATCTGCACAAATAATCATTATCATCTAAATAAATTTACTGACCAAATACTGGATGCACGGGCCTTTGTACGAACATAGGTCTATGTACGTATCCTTCATCAAAATGTACAGGTCTTTGGCCAACTACTAATGTTGGCGTCGGCAAAACAATTTTCCTAAAATTTGCCAGGGGCGATGTGGCAGAATATGAAACCACTGTAGCGCCGCCTGGCCGTAGGGCGTATGATATCGGAGCTTTAAATGGACTTCCTGGATATCTGTAAAATATATCGTTTATAATAACCAATTGCCTTACGAGTAATTCATACACACACACACATATATATATATATATATATATATATATATAATATAAATGTATTCTGAGTGGATAAATAGATATTAATTTGGAAATATGAACAAACAACACTCTTTTTTGCACTAATTTATTAAATAATAATCTTCGAGACTAGGTTTGTCTTATCATCAGTGTGTTATAATTTAAAATTTAAAATATGGAAACCTAAATTAGCATTATGCGTTATCCGTTACAAGTCGTTCAATATACTGTCTTCTGCCCCATCAACGATCGTCGGTGTCCAAATTCTCTATACAATTTCAAGTGTTTAGTCACGCAATATCAGATAGGAAAGGAAGGATTAGGGTCCAGTTGAAAAATAGATGTCGTTAGGAGAAAAAATGTTTACGTACGTTTTGGCACTGTATGTGTGTCATCGATTAGCAGATAAACAAATTTAACAAGAAAAAAACCATATTATAAACAAAAACCAAAAAACACACCAATGTAAACATATTAATGAACAAGACTTCGAATAAAATAAAAGCTGCAAAATAAAATTATGTAATTTGTCAATGATCTATTTTTTTCTTATCAACGTTTATTAAGTAAAAACTTCTTCACTATTTTGAATTTCGATGAGTGAATAATTGTAATAAAACTACCTAAATTAATTTTACTAGAACTAAAACTAAATTCAATATCGTTTAGAGTTCGGTATGTGTAAGATATTGGTAAATCTAGCTAAAATTTAATTAAATGCAGACAACAAAAACAATTCAAAATCAATTTCAATTTCATTCAAATGTATTTTTATTTTTCACATATTGGAACATACATGTGATTTTGAACCCAGTCATGTTAAAGAAAAATCAGGATCAAATTTAAATTATATGGAATAAATAAAATTGAAAGAAAAAACATCATCTTGAAGATATAGTGTTATCGTATTGATTGTTATTTTAATTTATGTTATAGTGTGCTCAAAATATATTTCTAATACGTTTTATATTGATCTACCTTATATGGTTTAACACTCCTCTTTTCCTATGCCTGGAACGAAATTTGCGTCCTGCCGAAACTGTCGTCAGAAGTAGTACAAATATCACAAATATTGAAAAACTTATAGTCACACTTTTCATCCTCATTTTGACAAACTGATTTTTATATCTGATAATTTATCTTTATTTTAACTTTTTATTTAAAATTTTATAATTTAGTAAAAATTGTTCATTTTTTATTGGATTAATGGAATTATTTGTGTAAGAACAATTAGTTATAGTTAAAAAATAAAACTAAGCTTTGGAGACATTTGTACCATCTTTTATCGCGATTTCGATTTAGTTGAGCGGGGATCGAGCTGATCTCTATCATTGAGCATTGATACACAACGAATCAATATCAAGGTTCACATTGAGACTACAACAATAAATATTTTTTTTGCGTTATGTTTACTTTGATTAAATTTTATTGTAGATATTAATTAAAAGAAAAACTATTTATACTTCGGCAGATATATTTATATAGTAAAAAAGTTCAATAATGATCCAATTAATTTTATTAGTTCTACTTATTTAAAACAAATTAATTTCAAGATAGCAAAGCAATATAGTATTATAATCTTAATCGATTTTAATGGTAAACGGAAGATAAAATACGCATTTTTATTGATTCTACGTTTACTACGATTACTTCGCGTAGTACTACGTTTACTACTCATTCATTCATGAATTTTCCTCATACTACTCGTAATACTATGTTTACTGCTCTTAATTTATTCAAGATACTACTCGTACTAGTCGTAGTACTACGTTTACTATTCATAGTGCTACGATTACTACTCGTAGTACTACGTTTACTACTCATTCATTCATGAATTTTTCTCGTACTACTCGTAATTCTATGTTTACTACTCTTAATTTATTCAAGATACTACGCGTACTAGTCGTAGTACTACATTTACTATTCATAGTGCTACGATTACTACTCGTAGTACTACGTTTACCACTCATTCATTCATGAATTTTCCTCATACTACTCGTAATACTATGTTTACTACTCTTAATTTATTCAAGATACTACGCGTACTAGTCGTAGTACTACGTTTCTATTCATAGTGCTACGATTACTACTCGTAGTATCTACTACAACTACGTTTACTACGAGTAGTACTATGATTGCTACTCATTCATTCATTGAATACTCCTCGTTTACTACTTTTAATTCGTTCATTGACACTACGTTTACTACGATTACTACTCGTAGTACTACGTTTACTATAATTACCACTCATTCATTCATGAATTCTCCTTGTACTAGTCGTAATACTATGTTTACTACTTAATTTATTCAAGACACTACTCGTACTAGTCGTAGTACTACGTTTACTATTCATAGTACTACGTTTCCTTCTCGTAGTACTATGTTTACCTCTCGTAGTACTACGATTACTACTTATTCATTCATGAATTTTCCTCGTACTACTCGTAATATTATATTTACTACTCTTAATTTATTCAAGATACTACTCGTGCTAGTCGTAGTACAACGTTTACTATTCATAGTGCTACGATTACTACTTGTAGTACTACGTTTACTACTCTTAGTACAATGATTACTATTTATTCATTCATGAATTCTCCTCATACTATTCGTAATACTTTGTTTAGTGCCCTTAATTCGTTCATTATTTCTATTAGTCATAGTACTACGTTCATTATTCATAGTACTACGTTTACTATTCATAGTACTACGTTTACTATTCATAGTACTAGGTTTACTACAAGTAGTACTACGACCACTATTCTATCATTCAAGGTTTTTCTCATAATATTTGAAATTGGGGGCATTTATTAATCACGTGAGTGAGTTTTTTCTATTTGCACAATCGGTTTAAATGTTGTTTATTCGCACAAGATCAATGACTGAGACAAAATTATTTGAACTGAGTTAGTAAATTGCATCAGTAAATTTTGTGTTATTTTTAGGTTTTTACCTTTTTACTCGTTTTTTATTGTATGAAACTAACAAGTATTGTACCATTTTGAAATCCTGATTAAATGCAAAAAAAATTGATAAATGTCTAGACATTTTAGTTCATTTCATTTAGGGCCTTTCAAACTCGACCAATTCGGAAAATATTAAACTCATAGGTTAACAAATAATATTAATTCTGATAAACTTGGGAAAATTTTTAACTTTGTTTCTAGAAATTTTATTCACGGTTATGGTTCCAAAGTTTAGAAGAAGAACATAATTTGTGAAAATTAACTACAATAACCACATGATGGTCATTGTTGGACCAAAGTTCTAGGTTGTACTTAGAAGAACATTACTTTTAATGTACATATTTTTTTTTTATTTTTTTATGTTAGTTGCTATCAAATCTTTCACCCGGTTTCGGATTGACGTTGAATTTTGTGACACCCTGTATATATAGTTATTTGACTAGACAATATTAGAATACCATGTGTTCATAGCTAGGAACATGTGGTTATTTGTGTCCAATTTTAGCCCGGAGACCGCACTTACGCTTCTCTTAATACAATTGATATTAATTGATTATTCCAGACACAGGGCGAGTAAGGCTTTCACTGTTGAAGAAGACATTTCTTATCGTTTTGATATGGGCATACGAATCACGCGCCGGTTTGATTTTTTAAACGTTCTCCGAATTGGTATTCGCAAGGCACAAACGAATAAATCGACGCAAGGTCGCGCCTAGAATAATGTGCATAGCTTTATGTAGTTATTTGTATTTTTATTCGAAAATTGGCATACGACTAGTAGAACATTGCCATTTGGAGATATCGAACTCGATTTGCGAAACTTAAGTGGCAATTTCGTTATAGTAACTGGTTTTTGTAGGCGAACCAATTTGAACATTTCGCATATATTTCACCTGGCTGGTAAAAAAGTTTATATTGTTAATGTATTTTTCTAAAATTTGCAAATTTTGAACCTGTGGAATACCATCATTATTCACTTAAAATATCATAATTACCTGCCTTAATGCAGAAACTGTTGGTCCAGTCATTATAGTAAGTTTCACTTTGGAATTCTAGATCCTCAGCCGTAAGTCTGTAAATACTTGTATAGTGACGCCTAAAGTTGTCTCAAAATCTACATATTTTGCATACACCCTACCATAGGTTTTGAGACAACCTTTAGGTATCAATATACAAGTATTTACAGACTTATAGCTGGGTATCTCGAATTCCGAGATTCTTACCTAATTTAAGCTTAAATTACTGGACTGGTGCACTTTCAAGAGTTTATTAAATTAAACATAATTGTTTCACATTCAGTGAGAAGACAGCTTCGGTAAATTTTATTTATAAAAAACTTTCTTCTATTTCTTTTAATTTTTTTATTTGAAATTTTGGCTTTGTGTGGTAATAATTGTTTCACATTCAGGGAACAGACAGTTTCTGTCACTTTTATTTATATAAAAACTTTTTTCTATTTCTTTTAATTTTTTATTTGAGATATTGGCTTTGTTCACTCGCCTGTGTATATTTGTGTCTAAAGGAGTATGGGCGTGTCTTTCCATACAAGATCGGCCTAACGTGGTATTTAAACGATTTATAATTATTAAATGTTAATCGTGTCATTTAATATTTTAATGAGTAAACTGCAACGCAAACTTGAATCAATAAACCATGAATAATAAATCAAATCAAATTTTAACTATACCTAAAATATATTTCCAAGTTCTTCTCGGGCATTGCTGCGTCAAATTGGGAAATAAGTCAGCCCTTTTAGATAAATGCTAATAAAAATAAAAAATAATCAAATATCAAACAGTTTATACAAAGTAAAGTTCTAGTTTTTTACTAGATCTCCGAAACCGCTAGACGTGCCTTCCCAAAAATATCATCAGTTGTTCATCTTGTCAATACAAGTAAAATGTTTTTTGAATTATTAAAAATAGGTTACCGTTTTTGACACGTTTTGTCCCATATCTTCGAAACAACTAGACCTGCCTTTGCCAAAAACTAATCAGCACGCCTCCTTATCAATAGAAATCGAATCATTGAAATCGGTTGACCGTGTTCCTGAAATCGTCGACGAAAATTTGTATCCGAACACACACACACTCATACATCCGTTTTTGTAAGGAAGCCCAAAACCTTTTCGAAATTTTTATTTTCGATTTTTTTGCAATTACCATAACTTACCCTGCGGGAAATTAAAAAAAAAAGAACTATAATTTAAATAAGGTGCATAAAGAAAAATGTGTTTGTTGCGAAGGTTACCTATTGAAAATGAATGTTGGTTGCTTCCTAAACCTGTTATATTTAATAGATTTATAGAGTTTGACTCGTGCTGTAGAACTTTTATTTTTATATATTTTTTATAAAATGTATGTGTTTAAGTGCTTTTCAGCTGAATTGACCTGTTTTTTTCTTTCAAGTTCTTACCTTTACTCCGTCACTAAACAAGTCAACTTTCAAAAGCTAGACATATGTTTTTCCGGTGATTCATTTGACGGCTGATATATTTATATTTTCCGTTCTCCTCGTGAGTTCAAGTTAGTTATTACTTAAACGTGATTTAATATATTTACATATTTTTTTGAGTCACTGTGAAAAACTTGTTGTATACTTATTTATTAATAATCGAGTCATTATGAAATTGCAAGATATTATTCTGGGTTATTGCCTTCCGTTCAATGATTTTTTATTCAAGAATATATAATTATTATATGAACTGTATATATAATTCATTATTATTAAATATAGTTTTATAAATCTAGTACAAAAATTGATATATATTTAAATGACGCGTTTAAAAAAATATCTGTTTCATGATACAAAGTGGTTGAAAAACACTAGGTGGAATAATAATTGATAAAGACTAGTTTTTCGTGGCGATCTACTAAGCCGTATTTTTTAATAAGTATAAAGTTATTTCTCTCAAAACTTAAATCGATTTTACACAACATACATACGCTCGCCAAATGTCAGATGATTCAAAATTACTTAAAATGTCATCAAAACCTAAACTGAGTGAATTGGATTTTCTATCGAAAACAAACTTTTTTAGTTTTTCAACTTCCCATAGGGTAAGTTGTATTAATGGGCCAAAAATCTATAATGAAACTTTTTGCATATCTTCACGTTTCAGAGGTTTCTGAACATTTTGGCACATCTCAGAAAAAATGGATGTATGTGTGAATGTGTGTGTGTATGTGTGGAGACAATTTTTTGTCGACGATTGGGGCGTATAGCAATCGATTTCTATTGATAGGGTGATGTGCTGATTAGGTTTTGGCAAGGCAGGTTCAGCGACCTCGGAGATATGGAGCAAATGTCAGTTTTTAAGAGAATGGATCAACCGATTTGAATGGTTCAAAAAACATTCGATTCCTATTGATAGGGAGGTGTGTTGATTATTTTTGGCAAACAGTCCAGCAGTGGAGATAAGCAGCAGGATACATAGACATAGAGTGACAGAAATAAGAAGAATTGATTGAAAACGGATCATATTTGTGAGAATAAAATTTCAATTAGTGATATTAAAAAACATTCAATTGATTATTGGAGAAGTGTTTATTAGTTTTTGGCAAAGGCAGGCCCAGGCATTTCGAAGATACAGAGCTAAATGTGAAAAAAATTTAAGAGAACTTAGCGTCCGATTTAATTGATTCAAAGAATTTTCTGCTTGTTTTAACAAAATAATTGTTTTTGAAAAAAAAAATTGTATCAAATTTTTTTTAAAAAAAAATTTCTGTTTGTATATCGAAAATAATTTAGATTTTATTTTTAATTCTGACTTAAGTTCTAATATACTTTAAACAAATAATTGCAACTTTGCAATTCAGTTTATATAATTCTTATAAATATTAGACAATATTACAATATTTATAATAATCTATTTGAAAACATTCAATATTCCTCGAAATTTCATTACGGTACGGGAAGTTCCAGCAATTTGCCTTAAGGTACAAAGCCATATACCACTAGTTTTTAATTTAACTGAAAGTTGTAAGTTAATACATTTATTGTGCTATTAAATGAATATATTTGAACAATAGCACTCAATAAGAGAAAATGCACTTTCAAATCCAAACCTTGAATACTAAGCTCGTGCGTTTATGGCGCATTCGGTAAATGATAAAGTATTAGATACGTGAAAGTCAATTATGTGTAATAAATGCTATAATTATTTATATACCACTTATTAAAAATGTCTTTAGTGTATGTAATATGTAACGAAACTTTTTATAAAGTAAAATATGAGTAATAGATTCATTCTAAAAGAGTAGTAACGAAGAAGATGTACATATATAGGCAGATGGTAACTGAATATTTGTCGAATAAAAAAAAATATGGTTTAGTTTAAATATACACCGCAGTCTAAAGAATCCGAATCACTTGAAACGTCAAGAAAACATTAAACAAGAAAATTGGATTTTCTGGCAAAAATATAAACTCCTTCGTGCTGCTAAAAAATAATAATTTAGAAACCTTTTTGTTGATAAAGTGACCGATTTATAGACCTATGATTCGTTTCATATTAAAACGATAACTTCGACAGACTGTATTATGCAACAATGTTCAAAAGTAAAAGTATCAAATCTAGTATTTACCTCCGTAAAGCGAGTTATGAATTTCCTTTGATTTTGTCGATTTTTAATGAAATGGAAACGATTGAATGCGGTTATGAATTAAATAATATTTCATTTTATGTTACGTATCTGGAATTTGATCTATTTTGTTACGGTGGTTATTTTTGCACGGTGACATAAGAAAGTTTTTTTAAAATAAAATGGTGTTATATCTAGGGCACTATGTGAATATTTCATTAATAAGTTATTACTTCATATGTTATTAAACACGTGCAGTTTTTTTTTTAGTTTTCTTATTTCCGCATGCGATGAACCAATCTTTAAAAAATATTACACAATGGTGACTTTCATGTTTTTTTAAATTCTTTTTTAAAAAAATAATTATTGAATAATTGAATAATTGCATTAAATCTAATACGTACTTGTTTCTTCCAGCATCAAATTACGGCGTTTACTTTCAATTTTTTTC